AACTTAAAAATAGATTTACAAAACATGAGCTACAGAGGCAGATTTGGGACAAATCACCAACGGGCATCAAATACTGATATTTTTTCTCAAAGCATTTGCTAATTTCATATAAGTTTTACTGACACAAAAATAAAAACACAAAAATAAGTTTTACTGCACAGTGTTTATGAACAGGTGTTTATGAAGGTCATCCTTAGGTCATACATATACAGAGACAGCTTGCACTTTGGTCCCAATAACAGTCCCTGGAGAGAGAAGCTATCTTCTTGGATCTTATTGAAGGAATTTACTGCAAGCATCTCTGATTCCTCAGAGTGCCTTTGCTCTTGTATTTCCTGCCATTGCATCTGGTCTTGCGGGCATAGCTTATGAGGCGTGCCCCAAGGCAATAGGGCAGCATTTTTAGCCCCTGAAGCCTGTGAAGTATCACTGACAGTTTGATGAGCTTGTCCAACTTTTGTTAGCTGGGGGCCAGGTGTGGTATGAAGGAAAGAGCCATTGGTTTCAAGGCACAGTTCAACACTCACTAAGGGAACTTAAGCAACTCAGTTCCTTCTGAATCTCAGGTTTCTCATCTGTAGATGATGATGAAGAGTCATATCTTCAAATGATGATATGAGTCATATCTCATACCAGTTACTCTGAGTCTGAAGAGGGCTCTAGTGGGATAATGCATAGGTAAACCACTTATAAATGTAAAGATCTATAATTATGTGACTTTATTCATAGCTTCCATTTTCTTTCTTACACTTTTTGGAATTATGGTGAAGGGGGGAGGCTAATTTTGTCTATGAGAATTTAATTAGTGAATAGATTCAGAGGCAAGGATCTGGGAGGGGGAGGGAGTTGAAGGAGCCTCACAAGAGGGTGAAGAATGTCATGGTGGGAGGTATAGAAATGTAGGAGGGTGACTGTCAGGATTGGCTTATGGGGTAGAATTTTGGAGACAGGGATCTGTAAACAGTATCTGGAAAATCTTACCTTACGCTGTTTGGTATATACCATTTTCTCTGTGAGAAGCCATCACTAAAGACTTCTTTCACTTTTTCATGTTCTTGGAGTGAAATTTGTGGTCATCCCCTTACCTCTTCTTCCCTGCCCATGCATTAATCTCAGGCTAAGATTGATCTTAAGGTAAGAACAAGAAGAATAGCTCAAGATAACTTAGGCACACTAGGGTTCTAGAATGATATCCCTTACCTCCATGTAAGGATGAAGTGAGAACATTCATTTCTTGCATACTGTAGCTATTCAAAAATGATAATTATTATTATGAACCAAGAGATAGTTTGCTAAAATATAAGTGACTTGAGAATGGAGATTTGGTTTCTCCTTGCATTTCACATGAGTCTAGAAAAGGCTGGACACTGAAGTTGATAGGATGATGTGCAGCCCTACACCTGTGTCCCTATGCTTGGCCCATTTCTCTGACCTATCCTGATCACATCATGCCACACCTTATTTTGAGGACTATGGAGCCACCAGACCACTGATTGCTGTACTAAGGATTGTGGGGCCAGTCATTTCCCCTAATGACCAGGACAGGCATTACCTAAAATATCATCCACAGGCAAAGGCTGAGGTGATGGGGGTATGGATGAGGTGGGGAGTAGGCTATGGTGGTATCCAAAAGAACAGCAAGTATCTATACTTCTGTGGAAAACAACCTATTAAAATAGGTGCCCCAGAGACATTGGGTGGGGAAGGCTCAGAGATAAAAGAGGGAGGACAGCACAGTCCCCCATGGTCTAGCTTCCTGCCTTTCACTTAGAGATTAGAAGGACACAGCTGAGGAGATAACAACGTGGAGGAAGAAACTTTGAAAAGAGAATAGCATAGGGCTCTACCCATTCTGGATTTTGACAAAGCTTGTGCCTGCTTGCTCACTCATCTGCTTCAGAAAACCAGGGACTTCTTGGGTTCAACATGTCACCTCAGTTCTGCAAGCTAGGAATCCAGAGTGAATCTTTGCCCTTCTTTTCTCTATAATTTGACTGGAGTTCTGGAGCAGAGACCAGACATCCATCTAAAAGAGTGTTTCCTGTGTTGTTCTTGGTTCCTAAGCAGTGTTGACACAAAAGTGATGTAGAGGAAGGCCATTATTAAGGTTTTCAATGAAATATGGAAGAAGACTCAGATTCTGACTTTTCTATTACCTAGGTGATTTCAACTTTGTCATCCATATAGTGGGGCTGAGACTATCACCTATCTTATGGCAGGTGAGAAGCAATATCTTAAGATATATGAGAGACAATATAATAAGGAAAGTGCTTTTGCTCTCCAAATGGTAGCTATTATTTAGATATCCTTTTTTTTTTTTCATTCCCTTCATCATTGCCACAACTATTATGTCTCCAAGGATGTCAGCTTCCAAGCTGGTCTCTGTTCTTTGTGCTTGCAGCCTCTGCTCCTGCCATCTATTTTCCAGCACACTGACAGAGAAATCAGAATAAAACATAAAGATATTGTCATGCCCCTCTACAAATTTTTTTTTAAATTTATTTATTTATACATACAAGAACTGGGGTGCAGGCCAGAGGTGCAAGGGGTGAGAGGATTCACCAGAGACAGAGTGGGGAGCAGAACAGGCAGATCTACTGAAATACACTGATGAGGGGAGCAGCAGGTGAGAGAGAAGAGGTCAGCTGCGCCATGTGGTTAGCTCCCTGTGCTATGTGGGTAGCTCCTTATAATTTGACTGGAGTTCTGGAGCAGAGACTAGACATCTAAAAGAGTGTTTCCTGTGTTGTCTTGGTTCCTAAGCAGTGTTGACACAAAAGTGATGTGGAGGAAGGCCATTATTAAAGTTTTCAATGAAATCGAACTCGTGCTGCAGAGTCTGTGGATAGCTTCACAGTGCATTGCTTAACCTCTTGTGTCACCAGGAAGGCCCTACAAAATTTTTTAATAGCTTCCAACTTTCTCAGAGTAAAGACTAAAATCTTCAACATACCATCATCCTAGAAATCGTCTTTTCAGTTTTGTCTGCTCCCACTCATTCACTCATAGTTTATTGTTATGAGCACCTTCTACATAGAGATCATTTCACACAATCCTGACAACAACACTACCCCTGTTACAGAGGAGAAAAGGGAAGTCCGAGAGGTTGAGGAATCATACAAGAATGAACAGTTAGTTGGTCACGGAGAAGTGAGTTCATTAGGCTTGCCGCCCTCTCCAGCTGGTGCTTTTTCTACAGAGCAAAATGCTTCCCCGGCAGCTAGGAAGGGCCAGCAGAAAGGGTTTAGGATCTGGGAAAGGAAGCAGTGGTTAGAAGGGTGTTGGAATAAGGATGTCATCCCCCCTTTCCCATGGTGGTGGGGAGTGGCAGGGACTTCAAGCATTGGCAATATGCTGGAATTTTACCTTCTGAGGGGACCCGAATACCTTTCCTGTTTTCCAGTTCCTTCCGCTTGCCACCACATCCTTTCCCCTCCAAGCCCAGCGCCAGATGCCAGGAGGGCACTCAAAAGACATTTGGGAGATAATTATTGCCTCTGCTTGAGTGGTGGTCTAAGGGATGCCAGCCCTCCAATAGGGCAGTTTTCTGACTTGGGTTAAGTGTCCTCAGGGACAACCAGGAATGGCTGGTATGTGGTCATCTTGCTCAAGAAGCAGTTTCCTCTTGCCTTCCCCCCTCAGCACCAGATCAACCCCAGTGAAGGGAGGCAACTCATTTCCATCACCACCCACAGACAGCTTGGGGTAGAAGTTTCGCTGAGCAGGATTTCGTTCAAAGCCCTTCCCTTCTGTTGTTTTTATTTTTTTAAGATTTATTTATTTATGCATACAAGAAAGGGGGTACAGGCCAGAGGTGCTGGCGGTGAGAAGATTCACCAGAGACAGAGTGGGGAACAGAACAGGCAGACTGACTGTAATATACTGCTGAGGGGAGCAGTGGGTGAGACAGGAGAGGTCTGCTGTGCCATGTGGTTATCTCCCTGGCCGGGGATTGAACTCATGCTGCAGTGGCTGCAGATTGCTTCATAGGTTGCATCTTAGCCCCTCGCGCCACGAGGGAGGCCCAACCCTTTCCTTTTCTATAGGCCCTTTGAGAGCATCTGGTATGTACCACGTCCTATGTTGGCAGGTTCATGCCAAACCCAGTGAAATAGATTTTGTGGTTTCATATCCTACCTCAGAAGAATTTGAGGCTTCAGGGAGGTTAAGTGACTGGCTCAGGGTCTCACCTCCCTGCCTCTCTCTAGCAGAGTCAGAATTTACAATTTCCATTTGTGTGGACAAAAGGCCCGCCCCAGAGTGCTGGGTTCACCCTCCAACCGCTAGCACTTGGGGATCCTAGTCCCACAACATTGCCCCTCCCTCTTGTTCCTGGGTCTCCTCTCCTTCGGCGGGAAACAGGGTGCAGCATCTCGAGGTGCCCTAACCAGTCACCCCTAATCCTGAGGCCCGTGCACTAGCTACCCCCTGCGGGCCGGGCGGGTTTGGAGGCGAAGCGTGGTCCGGCGCATCGGGGTCTTCCCGACTATTTGCATAACGGGGACGACTCGCTACCCCCCACCCCGGCCCTCCGCAGCGATCTTCTCCCCTCCACCCGTCATCCCCTGTCCCCCAGTTCCCATATAGCAGACCCTCCTTCCCGTAATCCCACGTGGGGCTCCCAGCTCCCGGGCTCTCCTGCGCCTCGGAGCGCGGAGTCGGAAGGCACCTGGGGGAGGGGAGTCCTGGGCCCTGCCGGGCTGGGGAAGACGCCTGGGGCACTGCCCAGCGCTAACAAAGGGAGCCGGCTGCTGGCCGGCTGGGGCGCGCAGCGGGCGGAGCAACCGCAGCCTCCGCGGCCAGATCGCGAGTGAGTAGGGGTGCGGTGGACCGTGGCTCGGCTGGGGTCCCCCGGGAGGAGTGATGAAGGGGAGCGGGAGGGGAGCGGAGCAGCCGGGCCCGCGGCGCGCTCATGGCGCAGGGAATCGGTGTCCAGCGCCGCCTCAGCAGCCTTCGCTGAGGGGGCCTGCCACTTTTTGCTTGGACTGTCTGAATTTACAAGGGCCGAAGGCCCGCCCTGGCTTCTCCGGGGTTGTTTGGCCCTGGGGACCCACAACAAACCCACGTGCGCGCGCACCCCCTCCCCCCGGGAACCCCGCTTTCTCCGCAACATAGTTTTTTTTTCTTGGGGGGTGGGCACCTTGCAGAGTTCGGATTTCTTCAGATCCTGGCTGCTGAGTGTCCAGACTGGGAAACTGAGGCCCCAGGCAGGGGTGGGGGCACAGACACCACAACAAACGCACGTGCGCCCTGCTCTGGGATCTGGCGCGCACCGCCAGCGGGTAGGAGCCGCCCTGCGGAACCCTGCCTTTGTCTCAGCCGCGGGGGAGGGATCCACGCTGGGGGTGTCACTTGCTGAAGTAGGACGGCAGAGACATGTGAAAGGTACCACTTGGACTGAAGCCCAAACTGCTAGGTTTGAAAGCGAATAACGAAACGAGAAACGGACGCTACAAAAAAGATTTCCCCAGACTGAGAGTCTGTCCCCGGCGGTGGTGCATTGCTTGGTGGGATTGGAACAATCCCTTACTTGCACCTCACGGAGGTTTCTTAGCGCTGGGGGTTGAATTAAGAGTCAATAGGCCTCTCTCCAAAAAGATATACGGTGCTTAGCGCACCTTTGTCCCTGCACTCCAGCCACTGCCTCTGTGGGGAGGTCGCGAGCGCCTCCCCAGCTTGCAGAGAGAACCGTCCAATTAAAACTGCGCCCCGCGCGGTCTCGGGTTGCGTTTGGCTTTTGGTTTGTAGATTGAACCGCTTAACCAGTCTGGTCCCTTGACCAGCTTGGTCCCTTTTGGCTTGGTAGGTATTTTCACAAGCAAGGCCAGCCGAGGTCTCTTGTTCTAGGCAGAAACACTTATTTTCATTTCTGTTCGAGTTAATATGAGAGACATTCCGAAGTCTTGAGAGGGCTCTTGTTTGTTTTGCTTTTTCTCTGCTTACGTGTGTTCAGCTCCGCTTTGCAGATGTTAGCTAATCAGACCTGTTCAGAATTGGACTCCTAGATAGTGATGCTGGCGCAGGGGCAAGCCTTGAGGTTGTGGGGGTGGGCGGTGTGCGCAGGCACCCAGGCACTGCTGCCGGAGTGTGCTTGTAGAGCGGTGTGGCTGCGGTCTCCTTGGCTGGTACTGTTTGAGATTAACCTGTCCCTGGGAAACACTGGACCTCCTCCAGCCCCACCACACTGTTACTGGGAGTCTAGAGAGCTTCCAGGAACCCTCTTACTTCACAAGCAACAAATGGAGGCGTGGAGACTTCAACCACTTGTTCAAGTTTAAATAGAGTGAAATCAGCAAGAGAGCTAGCGAGAACCTGAGTTTGGGTCTCTCCAAACAATAAAGGTAAGCCTTGGATTCCTTAACAGGGGCCTTAGGCAAAATCAACTTGAACAAAGAGTAATTCTGATTGAAGATTGCACCCTGTCATTACCCCTTTTTTTGATTCTTTTGCAAAAAGAGAAACTTAGTAATTCTAACTTACTCTTCTCATAAGCTTACTTATTTTTCTCTCCTGGCTGCCCCTTCCCCTCAGGTTGGAGTAGGGCCAACTGTGGAGACTTTAGATGTTTTCTCTCTCATCCCTGTGCCAGGAGGCCTTTGTTTGGGCATAAGCACGGACTGTTGACATCAGCTCCACTGGGGAGAAAGTGTCTCATAGCGGGCTACTCCTGAACCTCTTGTGGGAGAACAATGCATTGTTTTCAATGATTTTATTCAATTAAAAAAAATTTATGAGCGGCTCACAGAAGTAGCCGCTTATTTTTGTATGTGGCAGAGGAAATGGTGGGGGGGGGGGGAAACAAACCACGTGGCATCTAGATTTCCTCAAAGCTGAAGTGCTGTTTTGCCTGGCCCTGTTGTTTCCCAGCTACACTTGTTTCTGTTCTTAGGGTTTCCAGGGTGTTTCATTTTCTTGGTAATTCCACTTGACACTTGAGAATAGTTTTCGCATCAGGATGCTTACCTTGTAAGGAACTTCAGTAATCATCTGGACAGACCTGTTTACTTTCCAGATGGAAGAACTAAGGCCAGAGAGGAGATATTAGTTGCCTAAGGAGGCTCAGCTAGATGTCTGCTTTCAGTGGCTCTTTTTGCGCAAAAGGGAAACTGTTGCATCAAATGGGTTGCTGTCGGTACCCCAGAGTAAAGTCAAAGTTATGATGGTTGTTATAACAATATCCTGTAAGTCAGAGAATGAATTCCTTAAGGATTTAAATAGGTTTCAGTTATTAAGTAAAGCCATGGATCCCAATGGTAGATATGGTGAGGACTGGAACAGGGATCGTTGGGGATCTTTAGTGTTTACTAAATGGTTCACTTTCATGTAACCCTTGTCTCGTGCTTCCCAGTGAGGAGCTGTGTGGAGTATAATCGTAAAGCAAAAGGCAGTGAAAACTCCACATTGCTCTTCATACTAGCTAACACCTGGGGCTCCAGTTTCTTTTTGTGTACAATGAGTCCCTCTGGTCCCGTCTCTGCACAGGCTGCTAAAGTGTCCTGGAAGATGCTCAGGCTGTAGAGTCAGGGAAGCAGACTTGGGTCATCCCTCCTCTTTTCTGTGTTTCTTTAGAGTCAGCAGGCTGTGCGCACGTTGTATAATGCTATATGAAGAACATGTCCCTTTCTCCAGGAATTGTGGGTATCCAGCCATGTGACACATGCTTTCTGCTGCTCAGACTGCTTGGCAGGCTTGGGTGCTTACCAGTTTTTAAAGTGGTAGAAAATGAAGGTGGGAGAATAACACCATTGAGTAAGTTCTGTGCTTAGGAGACCCTTAGCTAGTGTGAAGTGGGAGGAATGCCTGCCAAACTGTTAAGGGAGCCTTTGGGTGGTTGTGAAGTGCTTGTAACTCTAAGGTAAATAAACAGAGTAAAAAGGAAAAAAAAAAAACAAAAAAAACAACCAAAACCAGAATTTTCATTCCCAAGTGAGTGTGCTCCAGTTATCCATTCGTTCCATGTTTACTGACAAACAGGAGGACCTGGAGGGCAGTGGTCCTGTGCTTGGCTGCGAGGTGTGTGTGACACACAAGACTGGCTCAGAGTGCTTTTGGATCTCTCCTTAGAAACTGCCCTCAGAAGCTCTCAAAAACAGATCTAATGTATCTCAATATGGACCTCTGGGGGGTTGGGTGTGGTCCCCTTTTCTTCATGAGTTAGGCCACAAGTAGGTGGTAACTGAGAGTGGAAGAGGGACTCTTCAAAGACAGAAGTGACTCTCCTAAATGGGAGGATGTGGTTGCATTTAAGAAATGACAGGAATATGCCATTGATGAAATTCACAGTGATCTTCCGGAACATCAGAGTCCTGAACATTTGGTCAGAACTTGATCAGTGACTTGTTCAATGAGAACTGAATTGGGGACACATGTATTTTTCTTGGTGGTATTCATGTACTCTGATGGCTGATTGCAATGGATGTACTTTTTATAGGCGTATATGTAAGAGTAACACAGTAAGCAATGCCCTTTATTACATTCAAATATGGAAGTGGTTTTCTGAGTTAATGCTAGAAGGGTGGGGTTTACCTTTATAATAAATTTGGCAATTCAAATTTTATTTATTGTTCTTAGAAAAATGAAGCACATGCATTGAATACAATGTGAGAAACACAAAAAAGTACAAAGAATCACAAGAAAATGTTTCCGACTCAAAGTTCCCAACTCAAGTAACCGCTGTTAATATTTGGCAGTTTTCCTTCTGTTTTTTAAAAAATGAATTTATTTTCTCTACATGGTTGAGAATATAATGTATGGGCAGTTATCTCTTGCTTTTCTTGCTTAACATTGTCAGATATACATGTCATGGTCCATATCCACATGCAAACTGTGTCTTTTCATTTATGACCTATCAGCTGCTCTGCATCTTCAAGGTCACATGTGCCATTGGTTCTGGTGACTTTAATGTTCATTTCACTGAGGGCCTGTAGAGGAATGTGCCTCCTGCTTCCCTTCTCTTTCCTACCCCTGCCACAAGCATTTTAATTTTATCATATATACATATGATGCATGGGTTCTGGCCTGTCCTTGTGACTGCCACACTTCAATAGTCTGGTTTTCAGTTCCCATATGTGTTAAGTAAGGAACTCTGGGGCCATTTATTAATTTGGTATTCAAATATTTGCATGCCCACTCTACAGCAAAGATATGTATAAGCAGATCTTAGCTTATAAGAAGTCCACCATGCAGTGCGGAAGGCAAAGGTGAGGAGAGACTAGTGCAGGATGCTGTGGGGTCACAGGAGGATTCCATCTAGGACTGGAGCCAGGAAGGCTTCCTGGATGAGGGCCACTTTTGGATGGTCAGACGTCTTCTAATTTTTCCCTATTGCAGTTGACATTGTGATTTACATTTGTGAATAAATCGCTGTCTGTATTCCTGATTATTTCCATAGAACAGAATCCTGAAGTTGAAATTACTGGTATGATCATTTAAAAACCTTCACGGGCTTAGTCCCAGTTACCAATAAGTCTAAAATACTTAAGTATTACCTGTTGTAGGAATAATAGTAATTAAAAGCATAGATAATTCAGGATTCAACTTCTTTTTCACCATTTATCCACTATGTAGACTACTTATCTGGGTACTTAAGTTACTAAGTTTCACTTTTCATCTCTGTAACATGGGCATATTAGTACTGACTGACCTCAATGGGCAACTGTGGATTAAATGAAATCACAGGTGAAGGGCCCAGTATAGGACTAGATATACAGAAAACACTCCTAAGGGAGGGCTATTATTGTTATAATTGGAATTTTCAGAAGTGGCAGAAACTTTTGGTCCTAATAATTTTTTTGACCATGATAATAGGCTGTTGTGTGACTTTCTGTGCTAAGGAAAGCAGTAAGTTAATTAAAATGGAACCTCCTGCCAGGTAATGGATTGAGAGAGAAATGATCAGTTGCACATTGCATTATTGCATTATAAGAAAGTTTTTATTATGTTAAATTTCAGAACCTACTGAAGTCGAAAGAGTGGTGTACTGCACTCCATGTACAGTCACTTATCTCCAATGATTGTCAAAACTGTGGTTGATCTATAACCTCACCCTCCACCCCAGGTCATTTCAAAGCACGTCCCAGACATCTTATCATCCCAGACATAAATATTTCACTGAGTCACATGATGTATATTTGAGCATCCTATTGTGCTGTTCTTGGAGTCTTTGCTGTCATTATTATGGCTTTGTGTGTGAGTGTGTGTGTGTGTGTGTGTGTGTGTGTGTGTGTGTGAGAGAGAGAGAGAGAGAGAGAGAGAAAACACTTTTCACACCAATCTGAGAACTTGAGTTTTATTGCTCAGATCAGCTTTCCTGCTGTGTCCCAAAGAGACAAGGTAGAGGAACACTAAATTTAGAGTCAGGAGACTTTGATTTTGTATAAGGGCTCCACCAGTTGTATACTTTTGGGAAATGATTTCTGAATTTCTTTGAGCACATTCATAAAAATTTGGCAAGTGTGAAATGAGGTAATCCACGCGACAGCCCACACAGCTCAGTGTGTGGACCCAGAGCGGACTCCAGCAGCCTTCCCTCCTGAGAAGCAGTGTTTCCATGGGAATTAAGGGCACAGTCTGTACCCAGATGTGCCAGGGAGTATTGATGTCAGGCCCGCAATCTAAGGATGTGGTCTGAGCTCACAGATGCTTGCCAGACTGTCCCATCTCCCCTGTCACTAGACCCTTCCAATGTATGGGTGAGGGCAAGGAAGCGGCCCTGTCTGTATTTCCCCTTTGAGAAGATATGGTTTCCTCCTCCCCTCTAATTCCCATGAGTCTTGGTTTCTTCAACTTGCTCTTGTACTCAAGTAGGAATTTTTGACTCAAATAAAAGGGAAAAGTTAATCCGATTTAGTATTTAGATTGGAACTCTCTTTTTATTCCTCCGGGACTCCCGTTAGGTCAGGGCCTGTACTGTGACTTGTTTCTGGCTGTCACATGATGACCCTGGGCCTGCCTACTTTGGAACTCAACTCCCAGCTATGTTGGCCCTGGCCAGCTCTGATAGCAGATGGCAAAGAGATACATAAGGTCAGAGGACTTCTTCAGACAAATAATAAATGAAATCTGTTTTCTTTTAGGACATTCAAATAGGATTAAAAATTAACACCCTTCTTTCTCCTACCACCCATCCCATTTCTCTCCAAAGTGACCACTGTTTGCAGTTTGTCTGGGTCCTTCCAGTCCCTTTTGTATGTGTTTATGTATATATTTATTGTTCTGGTAAATTCACTTTCAAACCTCAGTAAATGAATTACAATTTAACTACCACTTTACAAACTTGCCCTTTTCATTTTACTCTACATATCAGTGTATACCTAACCTTTTTTCATAACTGCATCCCATT